TTATTAGGAGGGACCAGTCCCTGGAGAAGGACATCCTGCTTGCTAAAGTAGAGGGTCAGCAAAAGAGGAAGACCCTCAATGAGATGGACTGACACAGTGGCTGCAACAATGGGTTCAAGCATAACAACGATTGTGAGGATGGCGCAGGACCGGGCAGTGTTTCATTCTGTTGTACAAGGGATCGCTATGAGTTGGAACCAACTTGATGGCACCCAACAACAACAACAAAATCTTTACAGAAGCAGATCGCCAGGTTTTTCTCCTGCAGACCTGCTGGGTGGGTTCAAACCTCCAACCTTTGGGTTAGCAGCCAAGTGCTTAACCATTGTTCCATCTGGACTCCTTATGTGTCAGAGTGATGGCTGAGAAAGAAAATGGGATTCTGAGTGAGCCAGACCCCTGTTCCATCTTGGGCAAGTGACTTCACCTTTCTAAGCCTCAGTTTTCTTATCTGTAACATGGGGGTAACAATACTTGCCTAACGGGATCCTTGTGAAGATTGAATGAAAGTGTGTATGAAGAAGCACTCAGCACAGAATTGTTGTTGTTAGTTGCTGTTGAGTCCATTCCAATTCATTATGACCTCATATGTGCAGAGTAGAACTGCTCCATGGGGTTTTCAAGGATAGACCTTCTAGATCACCAGGCCTGTCTTCCAAGGCACTTCGGGTGTGTTCGAACTGCCAACCTTTTGGCTAGTAATTGAGCACTCAACAATTTGGGCCACCCAGGGATTCTTTAGCACAGAGTAACCTGTTGCTGTCGAGTTGATTCTGACTCATAGTGACCCATAGGACAGAGTAGAACTGCCCCATAGAATTTCCAAGGAGTGGCCTGCTAACCAAAAGGTTGGCAGTTTGAATCCACCAGCCACTGCTGACCTTTTGGTTAGCAGCTGAGCTCTTAACCACTGTGCCAGTAGGTGCCCAGTAAAAGTGAGTTCCTCCTGCCACTCAGTTAATTTCTTCTCTTCTGTTTTCCACACTGCTTATTCCTCAGGGCTATTGGGATCTTAAGGGATTGATTTTTATAGTTAGAATATAGTTCAGTAGTTTTCCAGAAGGCCAGAGGGCCCAGGCATTTTCCACGATAAGATCTCTCCCTTATCTCTCACCTGGAAGAATGGCTTATTTTAACCTCAGGGGACAGTGAGTGCCAGCAACTTAGAGATGACAGCTGTGGCCTTTCTACCATCTGAGTATCATTTAGGGACCTTGTTGGAAGAAATTAAAAGCTGCCTCTTGCTAATTTAAAGAATGTTATTGGTAGAAGGAAGTCCTTGGGTGGTGCAAACAGTTAAACACTTGATACTAACTGAAAGGTTGGGTGTTCGAACCCACCCCGAGTGCCTTGGAAGACAGGCCTGGTGATACGTTTCTGAAAGGTCACAGCCTTGAAAACCCTATGGAGTGCAGTTCTACTCTGCACACATTGGGGCGCCATGAGTGGGATTCAACTCGTCAGCAGCTAACAACAACAATATTGGTAGATGTACTGGGTTGAATAGTGTCTATTATAGATTGAATCATGTCCCCCCCCCAAATATGTGTTGTAAATTCTAACCCCTATACCTGTGGTTGTGGAGCCCTGATGGTGCAGTGGTTAAGAGCTCAGCTACTGACCAAAAGGTTGGCAGTTCGATTCTACCAGCCACTCCTTGGAAGCCCTATGGGGCAGTTCTTCTCTGTCCTGTAGGGTCGCTATGAGTTGGAATTGACTCGATGGCAACGGGTTTTGGTTTTTATGCCTGTACTTATCTTTGTTATGTTAATGAGGCAGTATTAGTGTAGGGTGTGTCTTAAATCAATCCCTTTTGAGATATAAAAAGAACAGATTGAACAAGCAACCAAGCAAGGAAGCACAGATGGCGGAAGATAGATGCCTCCATAAGGCTTTCTGGGCTGTAATCTTTACGGAAGCAGATTGCCAGGCGCTGCTGGCACCAACCTTTCGTGGTTGCCCAGCGCAAATAATTTGTGCCACCCAGGGACTTAAAGAAAAGAAAGTTGCTGTACGTGGTACAAATAGAAGAGAATCCTAGGCCTAGCTCCATCACTGCCTCATGCCAAGGCATTGGGGTAGTGCCTTCCCTTCGCTGAGACTCCATCTCTACATCTGTGAAACTGGAGGCCATTGGGCTTGGGATCCTGCCGCAGGTGGCCTCTCCGTTGTTCATACACTAAAATGCCACTAGGGGGCAGCAGCAATCATGTTTGTCTTCTCCCATGACTGCCCTCTGAAGGTGGAACCACACTCTTAATTAATCTTATACAGATTCTAATGGGCTTGAGGGGTTCTTCTCATACTGTAGCATGGAGCGCTTGTTAAAACACAGATTGCTGGGCCCTACCCCGAGACCTACAGAAACTCTGGGGGTGGGGCCCAAGAACTGTACGTTTCCAACTTGTTTCTAGGTGATGCGGAGGCTGCTGGTCCAGGGGCCACACTTGAGAACTCCTGAGGTTGAGGATGGGTGGGTGGTGAGTTCTGGCCCACGCAGACATGGCCACTGGGGAATCCTTGTCGGCAGAGCAGCCACTCCAGTTTGTTGACTACATGTTTACTTTTCTGAGTCCCATTAAATCCTTTTTTAAAATGCAAGATCAATTCTTTTCATTCATTCTGAGCCTGGTTCTATGCCAGGCACTGTTCTAGGTCCTGGGGAGCCATCAGTGAACAAAATAGACGAAAGAGTCCCAGCCCTTGTGGAGCTGTCATGACTGTTTTGGGGGAGTTGGGCAATAAATAATAAATGTAATAAATAAGAAAATTAGTGCGTTAAAAGGCGATACATGTTACAGAAAAAAGAATAAGCAGAGCAGTGTAAGGAGGGTTGAAAGGGAGTAGCCAGGGTGGGTTCTCAGTGAAATGGTGACTCAAAATGTGAGTCAAAACTTGAAAGAGATCAAAGGAATTAGCTGTGTGAGTATCTAGGGGAAGATGACATCAAGGAGAGGGAATAGCCAGTGCAAAGGTCCTGGGGTAGGGGCATGTCTGGAGTGTTTGAACACCAGCAAGGAGGCCAAGGAGGCCAGAGCAGCATGGGCAAGGGGGAGAGTAGCCAAGGGTGAGGGCAGAGAGGTGACTAGGGGTAGCTTGGGGTGGGGGTAGGGGGCTGCAGGTCAAAGGAAGTCCTGTAGCTTTTCTCAGAGTGGAAAGAAGTGATGTGACTTAGGTTTTAAAAGGATCTCTCTGGCTGCTGTGTTGAGCAAGGGTGGGGAGCAGGCAAAGAGAGTGGAGGAGGCTACTGCAGCCATCTGGGCAGAAATGATGGTGGCCCTAGCCACCAGGGGAGCAGTGGGGAAGGAGAGAGGTGGTCAGAGGTTATACAGTCTCTTCAAACTCAGAACATCTAGGACAACTCCTCCTCCATATCTGCCACCTAAAAGGACTCACCTCTTCTTTCTCAGTTTCTCTCAATGCCCCATTATTCTCCCCATCCTCCAGCAGACAGCCCAGGGATGCTTTTGACTTCTTATTTCCCCTGCTCCTCGCATCCATCACTCAAACAAGACCTCAGTAGCATGGGCAAGGCCCTGCTGATTCTTCCATCCATTCTTTCTTTCCCGTCTCCACAGCTACTCGTTCAGGCCCTGGCACCTTATCCCTGAACCACTGCGGGAACCTCACTCAGTAGCCTGGTGGGCTCTGGAGCAGGACTCCCTGGGTTTGCATCCCGATTCTGCCAACTTTGAATTGTGTGAATTTGGGCTATTAATTTCTCTGTACCTCCGTTTCTTCATCTGTGAAATGGGGACAATAGTAATAATAACTCTAAAGGGTTATTGTGAGGGTCCAGTGAATTATTACATATAAGATGCTTAGAACAGAGCCTGGCATGTGATTATTATTTATGCAACAAGTATTTATTGAGCACTAATGGCGTGCAGAGACCTCCATTATTCTGGGAGATAGTCTGACCCAGTAGAAAGAGCGCAGGCTGCAATCTATCAGTTCTACTCCTGGATATACACCCAACAAAATGGTTTACAGTATCCAGCAGAAGACACGTACTATGTGTAAATACCGAGAGTGTTTTCTCATTTCCTGGCTGCTGGATCCTGATGGAAACACAGTTTTTATTTTTAAACAAATGTAGGTAGACTACAGAGGAGGATGCAAAGTTTCAACATTTTTTTTTTTTTTTTACAATAAAACATGAACTTCAAACAGAATTTTCCACTTGGGCTAGTTTATTTCAGGCTATGTCCCCCAGTCCCTGGAGGTAACCTCTCTCCCCTGGTTTTCTCCTCTCAAAAATGTTGAGAAGATCTGATCTATACAGACCGTCTTGCCCAGTGCCTGGCACGTGGTAGGTGCACAAGAAAGGTTCATTCTTATTAATACAAATTGTGTCTAATGGATTTCTTTAAGGCCTGCTTTCTGACTTTTCTTTAAGCAGTGTGATTTCATCTTGCGGTTGTCACAAAGAATTTAGCCCCTGATGGGAAGGGCTTTCTCAGTTGAGCACAAGCCTGATGCACAAGTTCCCCCATGAGCTAGTATTCAGGGCCTTTTTACTTAACTCTAGGAAAGGGAAGCAGGAGATTCAGAATGTCTGTGTGTGTTTTTCACCAGACCTCCAGGAAAGTTGCCCTTCCAGCCCAGCACCCTCCTCTGCCTAATTATTAAGCGAGCTGGTTGTACCATATTCTCCCAGGGGAAATTGGAGAGAAAGTTCGTCCATGAGCATAAAGGATAGGAGGAGGCAAAGAATGGACCAGAAAACCCGAGAAGCCTTGGCCAGCTTCCCAGGCTGTGAACTAGAGGAGAGGGACGAGGTCATGCACCCTCTCTCTGCCGAGCTATATCTCAGGGTCCAGACAGACCAGGCAGCTTGCGAATATTCTTGTCCTCCAGAGCCTGTTCTGCGGATCCAAGCCGGATTGTTACCTGCAGCCCAGGGCGTGGGGAGGGGCCATCTGCCATCTGCCCCGGCTGGGGCACAGGGCTGCCTGCTGGGGACCGTGGGCGCCGCGTCACGGTTCCCAGGCCTGGCTCTAAAAGGCTCTGTTCCATGGGCTGCGCCCCCTGGTGGGCGGGCAGAGCCCGGGAAAGCACAGGCGGCGCTGGGTCTCCAGTCGGCAGAAGCGGTTCTGGTTGGACACCCGGGTGGCCACGCCCAGCCCACAGGTGGTCGAGCAGGGGCCCCAGGCCGTGCTCCATTCTGGGCATGGGATGGGCTGGGGAGCTACAAGGCCAAAAAACTGGGGTTCTGTGGGGGAAGAAAGAGGGGTCAGCACTGAGAAGGGCTTGGCAGCCAAATCAACCTACCTGCTTGCTTAAGTTGCTTAACCTCTCTGGACTGAGGTCAATAAACCCTGTTTATACGCACCTGTGTGTGGTATGTATGCGTGTATGTTACATATGCCGGTGTACACACACACAAGCACACACATAATGTAGATCACACTGACATACTGTTTCTTTTTTATACTTAGTACAAAGTATGCTTAATACATACTTTTTATACTTAAGTTGAACTCCTTGGCATTCTTGTATGCGTTTATATTTTAAACGCATGTATCATATTCTATCATAGGGATAATAATAGCTACCACTGATGAAGGAGTATGAACCAGGCTCTGTTCTATCTGCTTTACTTGTATTAATTCATTTAGTCCTCACAACAACTCTATGAAGTAGATGCTCTCATCGCCCTCATTTTACAGATGGAGACACTGAGACACAGAGAAGTTAAGCAACTTGTCCAGAGTCACACAGCTAGTAGGTGGCAGAGCTAGGATTAGAACCTGCGCAGAATCCTTGCACTTGTAACCCACCACGTTTCACTGCCTCTCATATGGCACAGTCATTTCTGTAACCAATCCCCTTTTGGTTGTCTTTTTTTTTTTTTTAATTAATGACAGTCATGTGATAAAAACAAAACAAAAAACAAAAATGGCAACATAAGAACAATAGAAGCTCTAAAACTGAAGAGTTCACTGGGAGGTAAATGCCTTTCCTCCACATCTGCCTACCTCTAGATCACATCCCAGAAGCAACCACTTTGCCTGGCTCAGTTCTGAGCTCCTCTTTTGATAAGTCCAAATAATAATACCGTATATTGATCAATCTTAGTGGCCGTGGACCTTCTGCTATGAAATATAAGAATTTGTTCAAGTACCCTAATTCTCCCCTTGTCACTCTGCCACCCAATTTTTATTTTTAGTTAGTTATGACTTACGATTATAGGAGCCCTGGTGGCATAATGGTTAAGCCCTCAGCTGCTAACTGACATGCTGGCAGTTGGAACCCACTCAGCAGCGCTGCAAGAGAAAGGCCTGGCAATCTGCTCCTATAAAGATTACAGCCTAGAACTTAGGGGGCACTGAGTTTATGTTAATGGGAGAGGAACAACTCAGAAAAGGAGGATGAGAATGGTTGCACAGCTGGCAGAGGTAATCAGTGTCACTGAATTGTACACGTCCACACTATCGAATTGGTGTATGTTTTGCTGGGTATAGTCTCAACAACAACAACAAAACAAAATTTAAAAAAGGGTCAGTTTTACTCCGTCACATGGGGTCACTACGAGTTGAAACTGACTTGACAGCACCTAACAAGAACAACATGATTGAAAATTATACACTTAAACCGCAGCTTCTTGTTCCACCAGTTTTAAAGGGTCTGATTAGCGACTCTCCACCCAGTCTCCTTTCCTGCCGCCCACCACCCAGCGTCTGTCAGCGAAACCTTTACTTTTCTGTCTCCAGGTGTCCTCACCCCTCTAGGCCCCCCCACTGTCCCCGTGGTCCCGCCCCAGGGCTGACCCCAGCTGACGCTCACCTCGGGCTGGGAGGGTCTGCACCCCCAGGGCCTCGGTGCAGACCCACTCGGGGCAGCACTTGCCCGGGACCTCCACCCTCCTGGGTTGGGGGCATTCCGGGCTGGGCAGCAGGACGTCCTCGCTGCACAGCGACACGCAGGTGAAGCCACCATCCTCACAGCGGCAGCGAATCCTGCAGTGGGGCTGGAAGGTCTCTCCTTCCTGGTACAGGCGGCCATTCACCTCACAGCTCCCGTCATCCTCTCCGACTGCAGGGGAGAAACCGAACCCCCATCGGTCACCCGGACCCTTCTCTGGGCAAGGCCAGCTGAGGCCATGCCAGCCACGTCCTGCGGATGGCCCTGGCAGAGCCAACGCAGATCTGGCAGGACCAGCAATATGCGTCCCATCCCTCCCCACAGCCAGCCTGCCTGGCCCTGCGGGGAGACGGCGTGGCAGACTGGACCCTGGCCCAGAGTTTGCAGGAAGTCTGGCCTGGTTTGAGCCCCAGCTCTGCCCTTTATTAACTGTGCACCTTGGCCAAGTGATATCGCTTCTTGCCTCAGTTTCCTTATCTGCAAAATGGGGATATAATGGTACTTATTTCAATGGTTGTGAAGTGATATACGTAACATACCCCACATAAAGACCTTCAATCGATCCTAGCTTCTGTGTTGCTGTTATTATAATTTATATGCACTGAGATTTCATGCAGCAAAGTTTCATTGTCCACCTGCTGTGTTGCAGTCATCACTGTTAGCCCAGAGCTTAACTTGCTGGCTGTGTGGCTTTGAGTAAGTTGCCTAACTTCTCTGAGTCACCTTAACGCTAAATCTGTGCCTTCGGTTACCTGGGGGGTAATATGTACATAGCCCCTAGCACAGTGCTAGCATATAGTAGGTGCTCAGGAAACACTCCTTGAATGAAGCCCTCAACTTCCTCCACTGAAGGAGAGCTCCTTGAGGGCGGGGCCGTGTCATCATGGCCCCACCGCCACCACGAGGGACATACAGAACCTCAGGAAATGCCCCTTGAGTGAATGCCTGGCATGAGGCTCAGCATATAGAAGACACTTGATAAACTAGCTGTCATTCGTTATAGTTCAAGAAATATTTCTTGTGCATCTCCTGTGTGCCAACCACCGTGCTCCTGAATAGGAGGAAGACATAATCCTTGCCTCCAGGGACTGCGAGCCAGTGGGGAGACAGATGCAAAGGCGCCTGCTCCATGGCAGAACGTGGAAGGAACAGCAACGGAGGGCTTCCTAGAGACGTTGGTGGCAACTGTTTTCTTTAGATACATTTTTATTAGCAGTCATTTATGAGTTTATATAACAAATCTCCACTTTCTCACTACTACATGCCCCAATCAAATAAAGCATTTAACAAGAACTTGCTGTTGCTAACTTTCTGTCTACTCTATAAGTTTTTTAACAGACTTTTTTTTACAGGTGTTTAAAGTTTTTTTTCTTGTAGATGGACTCATTTTTATTGATTTATGGGCCTCTCTCTCTCTCTCTCTAGTTGTTATTTTTAGAAAAGGGACATGCACATCGAAGAGAGAGGTAATTTCTCTGCAAGGCTTATAATTTTGAGAGTATCCCCATGTTTTTCTGTTTCCCTAAAGCAGTGGTTCTCAACGGGGAATGATTCTGCCCCCAGGAGACAGCACTGTCTGGAGACAGTTTGGGTTGTCACAGCTTGGAAGGTTGGTATCGGCATCTAGTGAGTGGAGGCCAGGGACGCTGCTATACAACCGACAATGCACAGGGCAGCCGCCACAACAAAGAATGTCCTGCCCCGAAGTCACGTGAGGGAGGTGGAGAAACCTCGCCCTGAAGCATCAGAGGCCAGCGGGGCCTAGAAGAGTCGGGGAAGATGGATCTTGCTCAAGGTCACCCATAAGTAGCAAATCCAGGACTCACACTGCAGTTCCAGGCCTCCCAATCCGGGAGGAAGACAGATTGCCGGGCTGCCTTGAGAGCCTGCTTGACGAGGGCCCCAAGCTGTGCAACAGTAAGCAGGATGGAAGCTGAGCCTCAGTTTCCTTATCTATAAAATGGGTCTGAAAGTCCTTGCCTCATAGGGTTGTTGTGAGGATTGTGTAGTAAGTGCTTAGCACAGGGCCTGGCACCTATCATTCCTTGGATGAAGGCTTGCACTTCCATTTTCCCGAAAGCGGGTGAGGGTCCTGAGAAGGGGACAATGCCTTTTGGTGTGAAGGACCTGGAATGTTTGTCTACTCAAGGGAGGAGGTGTTTGAGCCTTTGGCAGTTGGCTGTGATTTGGACAAGCAGGCATGGGGGGAGGACCAGTCCGGTGGTAGGCATGGTCCCAGCAGAGGCCAAGAGGGGAGAAGTTGGGGGTGGGCTTAGGGAGCGATAGACTACCAGGTGTGGCTGGAGTGGGTGGTGTATGTGAAGTGAGGGTGAGAGAGGTAGACAGAGGAGGCTACTCTTGGACCGAGAACCCGTGGCCTTGCCCACCCTCCTCCATCAGTCCCGCAAACCTGCTTACAGAGGCACTCAGCCCTCTGGCCGCCAGGGCCCGCCCTGAGCTGGCAGACCAGGCCCTGGCTGGGGTCGCAGACGTGGAGGTGGTCGCAGGGCTCCCCCAGCCTCCGTGCACACACCCGGCAGCAGCCGCAGCCGTCCAGCACCAGGGGCACCCCTGGTGGGCATCGGGGAGGTGGCCAGGGGCAGGCACACGGTGTCGGGCACAGCTGGGCACACACCTGCAGAAAGAAGGACCTCACTCAGCCACGGACTTTGAAGGCAGACATTGAGCCCCGTCCCCCTCCCCCGCAGCTGGCCACCACTCTGCCTGGCTGGGCAATGTGGGGTCCACACGTTGGCTGAGAGTCATATGGACCTGGCCTTGAGCCCTGGCTGTCCTGTGGCCCTTCGTTGCATTGTGGCCATGAGCAAGGACACTGGGCAAGAGTTCCAGTCCTGGCTCTTCCCCTGATTAACTGTGGGACCTCGGGCAAGTTACTTAACCTTTCTGAGCCTCAGTTTCCTCACCTGTGAAACGGGGACAATAATAGTACCTAACTCAGGATTATTTTGAGGAATACATGAAATTGGGCACACTGTCTGGCATGCAGTAGATAAATGCTCAATGTGTTTATCTATCACCATCATCATCATTAACGACAGGAAATGGCTTAGGTCCTGCCCTCTAGGAGCTTACAGAAAAGCAAACACAGCAAAATGATGGATTAAAGCAGCATTTTCCGGCATGTGGACTGTGGATACTTACCTTGAGGACTGATCAAATTAAATAGTATCGTGAGCATTTTTAATCTTTGGAACAATCGAGAATGTGTTTCCCAACCCTGGGATGGGCGTTCAAATCAGCCAGGAAGATTGGTAAAATGCACATCTCAAGGCCCTCTCCGAGACTTACCAAGTCCGAACTCCCAGAGGTGGGGCCCTGGAATCTGTATTTTTAACAAGATGTCCAAAAGCTTTTGGTGCACAGCTAGGTTTTCAGCCCCTCTGATCCAGTCCAACCCCCTCATGTACAGATGGGGAAACTGAGGTCCACGAGGAGGAAGGGCCTTGCCAAAACTTGCAGTGTGTTAGCTGCAATTCCAAGTTCCTGCTTCCCCACTGAGGACCCAGGGACAGACTTTTCCTGTCATGGGCACCTGAACCAGGCACCAGCCCCCAGTGGCAGAGTCAGGGCATCAACCCAAGTGCTCTGACTGCCCACCTAGGACAAAGAAACAACCAAGCTGTGAGCCAGATGTCAGTTAGGCAGAGGGCCCACTGCATGGCAAACTGGAGGAGAAACATGGGCTCCTGCATGTCCACTTGAAGGTGGGGACCAAGAGCTAGGCATAATTCAAGATGTTCCCAGCAGCCTCTTTTGTGGGGGACTGATCTTTAGTTTAGGAGTCCCTGGGTGCCACAAACAGTTAAGCACTTGGCTACTAACCAAAAGATTGATGGTTCAAATCTACCCAAAGGCACCTCAGAAGAAAGGCCTGGCAATCTACTTCCAAAAGATCACAGCCATTAAAAACGCGAGGCAGATGGAGTTTGAAGACATTCTGCTAAGTGAAATAAGCCAGTCACAAAAGAACAAATATTGTATGAACCCATTTAAATAAAAAGACAAGAAAAGGCAAATGTATAGAGACCAAAGTTTATTAGTGGTTAGCAGGGGCAGAAGGAGCCCTGGTGGAGCAATGGTTAAAGTACTCAGCTGCTAACCAAAAGGTCAGCAGTTTGAACCCGCCAGCCTCTCTGTGAGAGAAAGATGTGGCAGCCTGCTTCCTTAAGGATTTACAGCCTCGGAAACCCTATGGGGCAGTTCTGCCCTGTCCTATAGGGTTGCTATGAGTCGGAATCAACTAGATGGCAGAGACTTTGGTTTTTTTGTACCGGAACAGGAGGGAGAGGGAAAAGGGGTTAACGGTGATGGAACAATTGCATTGATTAAGGGTAGGATTGCACAGCTGATTATTATAACTGCTGTCAATAAGCTGCATGCCTGTAAAACATTGACTTGGCTAAAGTTGTGTGGTATTTATAACAACAACCGAAAAAAAAAAAAAAAAAAGAGTAGCTGCTGAGGTTGCTTATGTACAACCAAACACCTCATGGGATTTGATTCCTTCATTTGGAGGTTTAGGGTATGGTTTCGGGGGACATCCCAGTTAATTGGCCTAATAACGTGTTTAGTGCCTCTGTTTTACCTCCTGGTTCATTACATAGTGCCTGGGGTCTTAAAACCTTGCAAGCAGCCATCCAAGGCACAACAATTGGTCCCTATTCACCTGGGGCAAAAGAGGAAGAAGAAGAGTCAGGAATAGGAGGAGGATATGGAATGTGAGGCTAATTGCCTCCATGAACAACTGCCTCCTTTGCCATGAGACCAGAAGAACTGGAAGGTGCCTGGCTACCATTACTAAGCATTTTGATCAAAGATTCCACAGAGGAATCTTTGATCAAAATGGGGGAAAAGCACAACAGAATTTCAAATTCTCATGGAATCCAGACTTTCTGGAGCCGTGGAGGCTGGATGAACCCCTGAAAATATTGCCCTGAGATAATCTTTAAACCTTAAACCAAAAACCTTAAACCCTGAAGTCTCCTTAAAACAGAACAATAATTTAGCTTAACTGGTAAAAAAGGTCTGCCTCGAGCATTATGTTCTTTCAAGAATTATCTATATGGGATAAAATTGACAACAGCAACTCAAAAGATTAGATGGGAACCTTAGGGGGCAGTGACTTTATGTTAATGGGGGAGGAACAGCTCAGAAAAGGAGAGTGAGAATGGTCACACAACTTGAAGAATGTAATCAATGTCACTAAATTGTACTTGAAGAAACTGTTGAATTGGTGTATGTTTAGCTGTGTATATTCTCAACAACAACAAAATAAATAAAATTTAGGAAAAAAAAAAAAACCTATGAAGGGCAGTTCTACTCTGAAACACATGGGATTGCCATGAGTCAGAATAGATTCTATGGCAACTGGTTTGGTTCAGGAGTGTTTTCGGATCTTTAAATTGGTAGGATCTTTTGGGAAGTAAAGGATTCTATATAGAGAAGGGAAGATTTGCAGTCTAGAAGGATAAAATTAATTACTTCATATCTCCTGTGTGGCTCCCAAGAAGGCAATGATGCCTTTGCTCCCACCCTGCCCCACCCTTGATAGCCCCCATTCCTGCAAACCTTTCAGTGGCCTGCAGTGCCTACCCTGGCCACCAGGGGTCGCCCCAAACTGTCAGACCAGCTCTGGCAGGGCCACAGAGGAGGCAGTCACCGGGCTCCCATCTAAGGCAGCACTGGGTGATAGATGGGTGTGTCTGGCTGCCCCTGGAGAAAGGGAGTCCCCCCTCTCTGGAGCTATTTCAAGCAGGGGATTGGGTGATGCTGAAGTGATTCTAGAGAAGATGGTCTAGTGTTGCCCTCAAAGTGTGGTCCATGCCAGCATGGCGTGGAGCTTATTAGAAATTCAGCATCTCCGGCCCCACCTTCTGAACCCGAAATCTGGATTTAACAAATTCCCAGGTGACTCTCATGGAATTGATTTGAGAAGCAATAGGCTGGACTTTGAGTTCCCTTCCAAACCAGGGATTCAGCTCTCTTGGTTAGTGGGAAGGTGGAGGGGAGGGACTCTGACCAAAACGGGCTCTCCAGTCCTTCCCCACCTGAACACAGGAGGGCCAGGTAACAGGTCCTCTGTCTTGTTCCTGGGTTCCCATGTTGGACTCCCTCTACCTGGCAAGCTTAGCAGGGTCTGGGTTCTGCAGGTCCTGGCACCCAGGAGAGGCTATTAATAATACTGATGATGATAGCTCACGATCACCACGGGCACACCGTGTGCCGAATACTTTACTTTTTTTTATTTTTTATTTTATTGTTGAACTTTAAGTGAAAGTTTACAATTCAAGTTAGTTTCTCATACAAAAATTTATACACATTGTTATGTGACCCTAATTGCTCTCCCTATACTGTGACAGCACATTCCTCCTTTCCACCCCGGATTTCCTGTGTCCATTCAACCAGCTCCTGACCCTCTCTGCCTTCCCATCTCACCTCCGGACAGGAGCTGCCCATTTAGTCTCATGTATCTACTTGAGATAACAAGCACACTCTTCACAAGTATCATTTTATGTCCCACAGTCCAGTCTAATCTCTGACTGAAGAGTTGGCCTTGGGAATGGTTTTAGTGCTGGGTTGACAGAGTCTGGGGGCCATGCTTTCCGGGGTTCCTCCAGTTTCAGTCAGACCATTAAGTCTGGTCTTTTTCTAGAAGTTGAGTCTGCACCCCACTTTTCTCCTGCTCCGTCAGGGACTGTCTGTTGTGTCCCCTGTCAGGGCGGTCATTGGTGGTAGCCAGGCACCATCTAGTTCTGGTCTCAGGCTGATGCAGTCTCCGGTTTATGTGGCCCTCTCTGCCTCTTGGGCTAGTAATTTCCTTGTGACTTTGATGTTCTTCATTCTCCTTTAGTGCCGAGTACTTTAACGTGTTGTCTAACTTAACCCTCCAATGTGAGGCACCATCATTATACCCATTTTAAAGATGAGGAAACTAAGGCTGAAAGAAATGTAGTGACAGCCAGTAAGAGGTAGAGTCAGGATTGGAATCCAACTTCACGTGAACCCAAGGCCCAAGCTCTTAATCACTGTGCCTACCTATAATTTCTCAGGAGCTCTGACCCCAGCTTAGCTTCTGCCTCCATTTACCCATTTGTTCAAGAGGAATAATGACAAGTTATGGAGGGTGTTCAGGCATAGCCAAGGAGGGATATGCCCTCTCCCAACCTCCCTCTACTCCATACCCTCCCTAACCACCCCTTTCTGTGTTCAAGTTGTCCCATCAACACTCAGTTTCCCAAGAGCCTGGCTGTGGTCACCAGGCTGTGAGACTCTGTGGTAAGAACACTGGACGTGGAGTCTTCTGGGCGAGAGTTGAGAGTGAAGTTCTACCACTGACTTGCTGTGTGACTTTGAACATATCACTTAACTGCTGTGTAAATGGGAATGAAGACCACCTATCTCAGAGTGCCAGCAAGGACTAAATGAGGCCACAGCCAGCAAAGTGTGGCTTCATTGTTTCTGGGTCTCTGCTTCTGCCCCTCTCTACAACCTTCAGCCCAGGAGCCCACAGCCTGCCTGGAAGACTTAGAATTCTCTCCCTGAGGATTGTTGTGGCTTTCCATGTTTGTGATGACTAAGTCCCTATTTTCCTGGGACTGGGGAAGAATGGAGGGGGTGAACAGTATGTTGAGGACAGCTCAATTTTGATCTTTCGTTTAATTGCAGGCCCCTTCCCCTGGCCCCTCCTGGAACCCCAAGTCCCCTGCTCCAACTACCCAAGGCACCCATCCTAGCACCGTGTCTTGTCTGTCCCATTTGGGAGTACAGACAGCAGGACTGATGTTAGCAGGGTTCTTAGTCTTCCCTTGCCCCCTGATTAGGACCTGGGATGGGGCAGGGGTGCGGGTGGGGGTGGAGAAGCCCTTGCCCCATGCTTCTCAAAGGAGTATGAAAATACAGTGTGATCATGGCTTGTGGTAAGGCCAATCCCCATGGCACTGGGAACCCAGTATTTCCTGAGGGGATGACAGGGCTCAGCACCTGTGGCCTTGGCCCAGGTTGAAGGTGGGGAGAGACACAGACTAGAGGCCCCTCAACACACCCATACCCATCTGGCCTCCACCATGTTTCTCCTCTATTGCTCTGATGTTTCTTGGCTGTGTGACTTTGGGCAAGTTGCTTACCCTCTCTGAGTCTTACTTGACTGAAAATTAAGAATATAATTCCTTATGGAGTTGTTGTGTGTGTTAGACAGGTGGATGCTCCATAAGCCCTTTGATAATAGTCCCATGCAGTTTATTATTATTCCACTGAGGTATATCCCTGCCCCCTGGAGCCAGGCCTGCCTGTCACCGCCTGAGGGCCCAACAGCATTGTGCCCTTGCAGGATGACCTTTCCAGTTAGTTAAACACCCATGCAAATCCTGGCTTGGATGGACAAAGCATGCCCTGTCTTAAGTCTCAGTTTCCCCACTTATAATGAGGGTAGGTGTCCCTGCTTTATAGAGTGGCCGTAGGGATTGGTAATAACCATAAAAGCCCTCTTCTGAACATTTACCATATTCCAGGCCCTGTGCTGAGCACTTCAGGTGCATTATCAAGAATGAGCTCCACAGAGGCCTCTTAATCACTGTGCCCATTTGACAAAGGAAGAAGCCGAGATTCAGAGAGGAGAAGGGACTTGCCTGAGGTCACACAGCAGAGCTGGCCAGAGCAGCAGTCTGGGCACAGGGAGGGAAGCCTGGCTGGGGCAGGCTGTGCCGGATGCAGGGGGACTCTGCCAGGGGGTCCTTGGCTGTGATTTCATAACCTCCCAGCCCCCTCCCACCACACCAAAGAAGTCAGTGGTACATTTTGGGCCCAGGCCCCCCCACTTACCTTTGAGAGGAGGAAGAGAAGGAAGAAGGCAAGGAGATGGGTCTGTGGTGTGCCTCTCATGTCACTATGTCCCCTGCAGAGCCAGCTTTGAGGCTGGGAGGCAGGACCCGTGAGTCTTTATGTTCCAGCAGCTGTGAGGTCACTCCAGGCAAACACACTCTCTCTCTCTCACACACAGACTGGCCTTTTCGTTCCTTCTTCCTCTCCCCATCTTCAGGTTCCTCTGACAAGCCCATTTACCTGAAGGGGAGACCGTGGAGGCCACCAAGGGGGTGCCTGCCAGGGTGTGTGTGTGTGTGTGTGTGTGTGTGTGTGTGTGTGTGTGTGTGTGTGTAAAAGCCAGAGCCAGTGCCAGTGCCAGGGGCCTGTGACAGGCTGGCAGGGGCTCCCCTAGCTCTGCCCAGCCCCAGAAGGCCTTGGCACAAGCCGCTGCTGTGACTGGTTCAGCCCTGCCCCCGGCCCTGCCCGAACCCAGGAGGGAGTTGTTGATCCAGGCAGTGCTCGGTGGACCCCCCCCTTTGCAAATCTGACATAAGCCCTCTGAGCCCCATGACCGGACTCTGGGCAGCCTCGGCCCAGCCTGCGGTTTCTGGCAAGGAGCTTGGCAGCTGCCCAGAGGTGGGTGTGACCCAGAGCAAAACTTCCCTGGACCGCCTGCTGGCTCTTGGCAGCGTGCGGCCTTCCCATGGCCTGCTTTCCAGGCCCCAGTGGGAGAGCCCGAGCTGGTTGGGCCTACTGTGTGCCCAGTGCTTGGTTGAGCCAAATCCATTTAGCTTAATTCTGCAAACTCTAAAGCCCCCATTGCCAGTGCTGGAGATACAACAATGACCACTGACTCAGGGGCAAGGTCTAGAGGGGGGTGACAGCAAGAAAGCATCCAGGGGAATTCCTGAGGACACTGAGGGTGAGGGATTGCTTTCTGAAGGGGGTGCCATTTCAGAAGGCCAAGGAAAGAGGGGGCTAGAGAGGGCGAAGTATTCCAGGCAGAGGGAACAGCATGTCCAAACATCTGGAGAAGGCAGATAGTACCGACTATTCTGGGAGCAGAAGGTGCCCGTGTGGCTGGAACTTACTGGGGTGGGGGTGGAGGAGATGATGAGCACAGGGCCTCAGGGTAGGATCCTTGTCTCCTTCCTAGAGACTAGAAACCCAAGCTCTAGGAGGCTGAGTTCCTTACCCCAGCTCTCTCTCTTTCACAAAAGCTGAGCTCCTGATCTTAAGCCAGCCTTTGAGCCCAAGTCTGTCTGTGAAGCTGTGTCCCTGACATCCTCAAAAAGATCTGTTTCTGTGGGGCAGTAAGACACGTATGGGAGCCTGGGTGGCACAAGTGGTTTGTGATCAGCTGCTAACTGAAAGGTTGGTGGTTCGAACCCACCCAGTGGCTCTGCGAAAGAATGGCCTGGCAATCTTCTTCTGTAAAGATTACAGCCAAGAAAACCCTATGGAGTAGTTCTACTCTGTAACAGATGGGTTGCCATGAGTCGGGGGCTGACTCGCTGGCTGCTAACAGCAACAACAAAGGCACGTACAAATTCATACCACCAATATTGTGGGAGCATCTACAGCATTTCAGCCGTGGGGCAGGGGGTGGCGTGAATGGGTATAAAGACGTGGCCTTTGAATACTAGAGGTGATGTCAAGGGGTGGCTGGGGAAAGTTTTAGCCTCCATAATCTCCACCAACACCCTAAACCTCAAATGTAATAAGGAACCTGGATATGAACAGTAATACTTCCATCTCAGGGGTGGATTATCCAATAGGCAAGTAAGCACGGTGCTTAACCTGCTTACCAGATCATCTGTAGCAAACAATTTCACATTTTTTCACCACATCAAAGATTCTGCTTCTAGGGATGGCTGGCATCTGTCTCTCTCTCAATCCCCCAGCACCTTCCTATAGAATCCAAGCATCTTTTCAAATTTACAATCCCTGACAGGGGCGGATGACCCAGTCAGCAAAGTGAGCACAGGCTTACTTGTGCTTACTTTGCTGACTGGGTCATCTGCCCTTGCTTCAATCTTTTGTAAAACATCACTAAGCATCACTGAAGCCTTGCTATTTGCGTGGCTTTCTAGGTAATGGAAGGAGCCCTGGTGGTGCAGTGGCTAAGTGGTTAAGTTTGGTATAAGTAATGGTAGCACAGTGGTTAAAGCACTCGGCCGCTAACCAAAAGGTCAGCAGTTCAAACCCACCAGCCACTCTGCGGGAGAAAGATGTGGCAGTCTGCTTCGTAAAGATTTACAGCTATGGAAACCCTATGGGGCAGTTCTACTCTGCCCTATAGGGTCACTATGAGTTGGAAGTAGCTTTATGGCAGTGGATTTGGTTTTGGATAGGTAATGGATGGGGCGGTGCTGGTTCAGTGGTACAGTTCTCACCTTCCGTGTGGGAAACCCGGGTTTGATTCCCAGCCAGTGCACCTCACGCACAGTCACCACCTCTCTGTCAGTGGAGGCTTGCATGTTGATATAATGCTGGTTTCAGTGGAACTTCCAGACTAGAGACATACTAGGAAGAAAGGCCTGGCAATCTACTTCTGAATATCAGCCGATGAAAATCCTACATATCACAATGGTCCAATTTGTAACCGATCATGGGGATGACATAGGACAGGGCATTATTTAGTTCCATTGTCCATGGGGTCACCATGAGTCTGGGGTGGAGTCAGTGACATCTAAAAGCAAAACAACAGCGACATAGGTACTAGATGGTCTGAGTAAGACAGGGCTTGCTGTGCAAAGCAGCTTAAGATAGGTTTCCCCCAGCTCATCTTCCCACCAGATTGCTACCTCAAGCCCCTACTAATTGGAAATTTGGGAGCTGTCACTCAACAATAGCAACTGTTACTAGATGAGCACACACTATGTGCCTTTTGCATATAGTATTTCACTTAACGGACACCTGAATTAGTTTCCTGTTGTTGCTGTAACAAATTACCTCAAACTTAGTGGTTTAAAACAACACAAATTTGTTACCTCACAGTTCTGGAGTCAGAGTCTGACATGAGTCTTACAGGGCTAAACTCAAGTGTTGCCAGGGTTGTTTCCTTCCAGAGACTCGAGGGGAAAATCTGTTTCCTTGACTTTTCCAGCTTCTAGAGGCCATCTGCATTCCTTGGCCCGTGGCCCCTTCCTTCATCTTCAAAGTGCAGCACTCCAACTTCTGCTTCTGCCCTCCCTTCTCCTTTTTCTGACTCTGACCCTCCTGCCTCCCTCTTATGAAGACATTTGTGACTACCCTGGGCCCACCTAGATAATCCAGGACAATCTCCCGATCGCAAAATCATTAACTTAATCACACCTGCAAAGTCCCTTTTGCCATGTAAAGTAACATATTCATAGGTCCTGGGGATTAGGAGCACTAACAATAAAAGCGATCACGTATTGAGCACCCAGCAGAAGCCAGCCATTGTGCTATGTGCTCTTTATAAAAAGCGATGTTTCTAATCCTCACAATCAGGTATCAGTAATTTTACTTTCTCAAGAAGAATGGTGAGGTTCAGAGAGGTTAAGTAATTTGCCCAAGTTCACACAGCTCAGAAACAACCAAGATTTCAGCACAGGTTCATAAGACTCCAAAACCTATGTCTGGGATTTATTTCTTTTTTTGCTTCTGCTCGTACAGCTCTCTGTGATACACACACACGCGCACACGTATGAGGTTTGAAATTGAGGGATGACATATAGACAGGAACGTGCTTAACATGTACTACTAATACAGCTGGATGACTTCACATTTGTATACACCCATTTAACCTATATAACCATCACCCAGATCGAGATATATTTCCAGAAGTTTCCTTCATGCCCCTTCCAAGGCTGTACCCTGTGCCTTTCAGGTAAACACTGTTCGGACCTCTATCATTACTGATTAGTTTTTCTGGGAGGAACAGTTTTCTCTGAGGCAAGAAGGGAGGCAGGAGAGATTTGGAAGTCTGACGGGAGAGTTGGAGGGAGGCGTGTTTGGTCACAGAGGAAGCGAGGCCCTCTGCTGACAGCGAGGAGGTGAGGCAGGTGTGGCGAGTGAAGAAGTCACGAATCAGCAGCCTCCCAGGGAGGCGGCAAGAGATGAATGGAAGTGTTACCGCCCACCTGTGAGGGCCCCTCTGAGTCAGAACATGGACTTTTCCTGGACCTTTTTCTCTCTAATAACTGAGGATGGGAGTGTGGACAGTGGGAGGTCTTGGGGCCAGGCCAGATCAGGAGGCACGTGAGCCTGGCATCAAGGGTGTTTGTTGAATGAGAGTGTGATGAAGAGTCTTCCACACACAGTTCAAAGTGTAGAAAGACTGTGGCAGGAACTGCCACTTTGCTGACTGGTTATGTATGGCTCAGGCCCCCAAAGTGTCAAGCTTGGTACCGGCCAGGCGTGAGAGCCCAGAGAACCCTAACGAGGCTTTGGGCTGCTGCCAAACCAGTTGCTGTTGAGGCGGTTCTGGTTTACGGCGCCCCCACGTGGGCCCAGGTAGAGCTGTGATCCGCAGGGTTTTCAATGGCTGATCTTTCGGAAGTAGATTGCCGGGCTTTTCTCCTGAGATGCCTCTGGGTGGACTTGAACCTTCCATTTTTCGATTATCAGCTGGTACTATTTATATACTTACGTATATGTATATATGTGTGTAAGGAACCCTGTTGGTAAAACGGTTAAGCACTCGGTTGCTAACTGAAAGATTGGTGGTTCGAACCTCCCCAGCCACTCCACAAGAGGAAAACCTGGCGATCTACTTCCTTAAAGGTTACAGCCAAAAAATCTCTATGGATGGAGCCATTGAGGCTGGATGAACCCCCGAAACTATCGCCCTGAGATAATCTTTAAACCTTAAACCAGAAATATCTTCTGAAGTCTTCTTAAAACCAAACACAATAGTTTAGCTTAACTGGTAAAGAATGTCAGCCTTGAGCGTTGTGCTGTTTTAAGAACTATCTGTATGGGATCAAATGGAACTTTGGTGGTGCAGTGGTTAAGAGCTCAGCTGCTAAACAAAAGGTTGGCAGTTTGAATCCACCAGCCAATCCTATGGGGCAGTTCTACTCTGGGTCACTATGAATCAGAATCAACTCAATGGCAAGGGGTTTGTTTTTTTATATGCGACCAACCTGACA